AGTCCTATGTCTTTCTGTCTCCTAATGCCTAGAACTGTGCCTTGAATACAAATGCTCCAATTTATCCTAAAATGCTAGAGAACATGGCCAGGTGTGGTGGCTCAAACTTATAATCCTAGCACTTTGGGAGGCTGAGGAGGGAGGATCACTTAAGGCCAGGAGTTTGAGACCAGCCTCAGCAAAGTGAGACCCTGTCTCTACAAAACATAAAAAAATTAGCCAGGCAAAGTGGTCCACACCTATAGTTCCTGCTACTCAGGAAGCTGAGGCAAGAAGATCCCTTGAGCCCCAGGAGTTTGAGGTTGCAGTGAGCTGTGATGATGCCTCTGCACTCTAGCCAAGAAACAGAGTAAGACTCTGTCTTAAAAAAAAAAAAAGAAAGAGAGAAAACATACTAGAGACATGAAGTAAATTTTAGGTCTGCTAAAATTCAGTGAAAGTGCAACCAAGAATAGAGCTTTTAGCAGATACGTATATTACAACTGACAACCTAGAAAACTATTATATTAGAAAAGTGGGTGATAAAATAAAAGAAAGGCTTTCAGAATAATGAACACATTCTGCCCTACTTATGCTTTATTTTATCACAGATTCTAGTTTAAAAACAAAACATTAAAGTATGGTTTGCATCTTATTCCTGTTTAAACCAGGATGCAGCGCTCCACCTGGGAAGAATAAAAATGGAGCATAATCTCATAAAAATTGAATTTGCAGGATAAAACTTCTTTTCTTATATGAAAAAAATGTATTTAATTGAACACTAAAATTCCACATCTCGTGAGTATTATTTGTGTAAACTGGTTCTTGATATTTTTAGAAGCTATTTTAGGCTTTAGGTTATTGATATTGTTCCATGGAGAAACATTAAATATATATCAATTTATAGTCACTTCAGTATGGAAGTCATCTCCTAATCACACAGATTGTTTCTAATCTTCTAAAACCACAGGCACATAAATGGCAATTTGATGATGTCTCAGAAATAATCAGTGGGGGCATTTGTGTTATTATATAACTCAGTATCTATGTTGATTCTAAGAAAAAGGAAATTATATATATGTATGTGTGTACATATACACACATATGTATACTGTATTTTCATGCTTAGATATAGTCTCCCATCTAAAATGTATTCTCTCTTCTACCTGCTTCCGTCTTTGTATAATAAAATCCGTCATGGAATCTTAACAAGCTTGCCCCACTGCACTACCAATTTCTCAGTAGCCAATTCTGAGTTTGCGTTCACTTTCAGGCATTTTATCTGCCCTGCTCTGAGAGGTATTATTAATCACATCCTGTTGCTAGGATACCTGAGAATGTTCATTTATGTCCAATGTTTCTTTGGCAAAATGCACTATGAAGAAGGCATAGAATCATGACAAGGAAAATTACTGTGCACATGCTACTTATTAAAAAAAGGGGAAGGAATAACATAATCACCAGATAATATAACGCTAACTCCCATAAATTGTTGAACGTCATTTTTGTTTCACCTGGATTTTAATGGAAAAACACTGGCAATATTTTTGGATAATGAGAATGTGTAGCACTTCCTGACTCCTGAGTTAACTAGAAAAAGTAGAAGGAGGTAGGGTTTTAATTCTGTTTATTTTATACTTAGAGAGGAAGAGACTTTAAGATTTACTTGTTTCCAATGCCTCCTTCCTAGACAGGGTAAAGGTGATAGAATTAGCTGCTTTGCAGAGCCAGATCTAAAACCTAGGTCACCACTATTGCCATGTTTAACTATTTTAATGCAAGATTTACGAGAAGAGTAGCCTTTGGAATTTGCATTTTATAAGACTAATTAATGCCTTTATCAATATTTTAAAATAATTTCAAAACTATTGCTGTTTTGGGTGTTAGTTTAATATGTGAAAGATTCCTGCTTATCAGTTATAATTAGAGGGAATATGAAGACATAAAATCCATCTAAATGCAAGATTTTCTTAGTCAATCTCTTACTACAGGAAATAGCAGGATATAGGAAAAGGAACACGAATTTCAGAGTTGGATGGACTGAGTTTTCATCTTAACCATGGGGACAAAGCTATGCAAATCTGGGGATGAAGCATTGAGTATCTTCTCGTTGCATTTCCTTTTTGTTCCCTTCTCTTTCTCTTGCCTGTGTGTAAGCATGAACACAAGACTTATTCAGAAAATCCATAAACCATATATAATCAGTTCCTAGGTTTTGAGAGTTGCCTGAATAAATTATTTTGTTAAAAACATTTCTGAGGACTATTTTTTTAATAACTACTTATTGTTTATTAACTTATTTGTTTGAATGAAACAAATGTTTGTTTTAACTGCTAAATATCTAGTCACAATGTTTCAGGAGTAGAATGCTACGAAAAGACATTCAGACTTTGAAATTTTTTTTTAGTAGTTTAATGTTTATTTAGTACCTACTATGCGTTGGACACTCTATTGAGATTTAAATATTATTTAATTTAATCTTCACAGAAACTCAATGACATAGATAATAATTACTTTTATTTTCTAGTGGTGAAAGCAGGCTCAGAATGTTTTTGTAAGATGCACAAGATTCCAATTAGTGAATGGCAGGATTGGAATATGAACCTAGAGATTTTTACCTTTTCTAAGCTTATTGGCTGTGGTAATTAAGGGCAATTTTGAGGAGTGGTGACAGGCTTAGGTTTGTGTCTCTGTCACTTAATCACTATGTGATGTGGGCACATCATTCGACCTCTCTAAGTCGAATTGTGTTTTCGGAAATGGGGGTAATACAAGTACCGACTTCACAAGGTCTTTGTGAAGGTTAAATGAAACGATTCATTTAATAATAATCCCTACATGTTTGAGTGCATGATACAACAATATTTATAATGCTCTCATTTATAATGCTCTCATTGGTGCCTGGGACACACAAAATAGTATATTGCTAGGTGCTTCTGTTTATGAATATAACATAACAGGTATTCCCTAG